GGAGGTATTGGTGTCCTATTCAGGGAGGTGGCAGGACCTAATTTAATTCTAGGTCTGAGGTTACTACTAATAGCCAGGCACCAATACGAAACTGGTTCCCTTTAAGTTAGGGAAGGAAAGTCAAGACCAGGAATATTTATACAGATCACAAGGGATTTGCCCCGGGTGGCATTTCAATAGAACTTGGAAGGTGGACACAATGACGCTGCTACGCAAGGGAGACAAATGGTAATCTGAAAACAAAGCTTTGCATACCCTGAAAAGAGAAGGTGTAGAAAAAAAGTTGACCTTTTAAATGAAAGCCCTTTGACCCAGAAACATCAGAGGCAGAGAGCGTTATTCTGCTTGCACTTCCACAGATGTTTTCAAAAAGAAACTCAACAGTTGTACCATCATGTTTAATCCCACATTTCAACATGTAATCCCCATTGTGCTAAACTGTCCAATTCATCCAATTACGGGAGGCCCAAAATCCCAAAACGGTGTCACAATATCGGTTGAGGCAACAGACCATCTTGATGGCCACCCACTGAGACCTGGCTTTCTGTCGCCCCAAGTGCATGCACTGCTAGCCACAAGACCGTCCAGCTGTGTCAAGACGCACTGGTGCATGGTAGGCCTCTTACCTTACACACAAACTCTTCCATTTTCTCCATGGCATGGTGGGCTTGGAGGAGAGGCAGCATCCCCATAAATCTTTCATCTTCCGGTGCCGAATCATTATCCCTGGCATCGTCAGAACTCTGAAATAGAAATTAGTTAAAACGTTGGAACAAAAAGCAGGTTTTAAATGTGACATCAACCATACAACTTGAGGGTATTCAGAGAAGCCAGGGTATCCAGCTGCATTATTCAGAAAACTTCTGCGACCTGGAAACAGCCAAGGGAAATGAGCTGAAAGTAACGCCCCCCCCATTTGTGAAATGGGGGGAGGAAAAGGTGAAAAGCTCTCACTGTGTAGCAAGTATTTCCAGACAAAAGAAACCTTGAACATTACAGTGTGCATTTGTTAAAAGATGATGTAAGAGGTCAGTACACGGCACGAATGCATTCTATTTTTGTATATGTACAAACCCTGTCAAAACATCACCAATTTGCCTATAAAGAACCACTCGATACAGCTTCTGTGCCCAGGTTCCTCATGTGAACCCAGCAGGGTGCCAAGAAAAATTAAAAATTGGACAAACTTACTAAATTGGTTTGTTTTAATTCTTAGGACGATGAACACTACACCTTTTTACTGTTTAGATAGATTACGTATTCCCAGATTCGAGTCCAGGAGCACCTTAGATACCAACAACACTTTCATACCTGATGACTTTTGACTCTTGAAAGCTCATGCCCCCCCCCCCAAATCTTGTTGGTCGCTACAGCACTACTGGACTTGAACTGCACTGTTCTACTGCTGACCAATACGGCCACCCTCTGAAACCACACGCATTTCCCTTATACTGAATCAAGCCACTCCACCCCCACCCCCTATTCAGTATTGTTAACTCTGACAAGCAGCCATTCTCCAAGGCCCCTCAGAAGTTTGTCCATCCCAACTACCCAAGATCCTTGAAATGGAGACAGAACATGGAACCTTGTCCATTCAAAGCACGTGTCGTGCCTCTGAGCGATGGACTCCCGCCCGCTTCCCTAGTTATCAACACGTCTTAATTCAATCCATAAAAGACAACAGCATCCCTTCCCAAGTTTTAAGGCCACCCACCTCAGCAGGTGCTCAGCAGAGCCTCAGTGCCAATATACAAACGCACCTGTCAGTGAAATTAACTTAAAATACAGGCACTGCCTAAACTGCTTCTCCCCCACCCCACCCCAGAGCCAACAGCAGTCTTGGGAATGCAAGTAAGTCAGAGGGCAAAAGGGATGTGTGTGTGTGAAAGAGTTAATCCTCCTCCCTGTACACCACACCCCTAATACCAACTGGGGTCCCATGTGTCTGCAATTTACAGAAACAGGAGAACTGTTACTAGATCTCCCGTTGCTGTGTCCAACAGTACTTCCATTCCATAACATTCATAAAAACGTTCTGGCTGTATCTTAACCTGAAACACATCAATTCACCCTCTACTCAACACACGAGAGCATAAGCTGGATGTGCCACAACATATCAAACTTACTTTTAAGTCAGCCCAGAAGAGCACATGCAGGTGTGCGCACACAAAAGAGAGTGGCTAAGAACTGCTAGTGTGGCATTTTGTATAGTGTTGGACAAGGAATAGCAAGACCCATCTTCAAATTCCACCACTGCCAAACTCACAGAGTTACTCTGGGCCAAGGACCCACTCTCTCAGCCTACACTATCACGTATGCTGCCCCCAACAGACTTCTTTGGAAGAAGGACATGATGAAAACATGACAAAGACCCAGATCACTTTAAGAACAGGACTGCTTACAGCAGAATCAAACTGTGCTGCTCTATATGACTTTTTGAGAATCAAAATTGGATGATGGTTTAATTTTGTGTTTATTACTTCTCACCAGCCTGCCAGTCTTTCTTTCTCTGTTTATTAAAAATTCTGGACAGCATAACGCCTTCAAAAGGTTGGGGAAAGAGTACAGCTCCTACCCCTTTGTCTTCTAGCGTCCTGCTGGAATGAATGGAAATGCCTTCAGTTTGTAACGTAAGCAGTTTTAAGTTGGTAAGCAGAGTAGGTCACTTACAGGTATTGTACTATTCAAGGCCTTTTATTATTCAAGCAGCAGCATTACACAGCCAGTGCCACAAGTTCTCCAGACTTCTATGTAACCTACATGAACCCTTAATATACCATTCCTCAGACTCCCTAAAAACCTACTAGTGAAGCTCCAGAACACACACTCACAAGAAACTGTATCTGAAGAAGTGTGCCTGCACACAAAAGTTTATACCCAGAATAAAACTGAGAGCAGCTCTCCAGGGTCTCAGGTTGAGGTCTTTCTCATCACCTACTGTCTGGTCCTTTTAACTGGAGATGCCGGGGATTGAACCTGGAACCTTCCGCATGCCAAGCGGATGCTCTACCACAGAGCCACGGCCCCTACCCTTCTATAATCACAAGTCAGATCTTCCACAAACACTGCGTATCAATATGCAACAGTGTTAATGGCACTTACTATTTTATTTGTTTCTTCCTGGTTAAACTCTTACAACAGGAAAGGAAGAGAGCACCTGGCCCCTTTTCACTTCCTCCACATTTTCCCAGCATGGCTAAGCAACACAGTCCCAGACCTCTTCTTTAACTAAACGCAAACCTATTCCAGATCAACTAAAACCTATAAAGCACTTTCACTGAAAAACAGAACTCCTGGTGCATTTTAAATAATGCACAAGCTTCAGACCTCACAGTAACATTTTATTCGACCATGGAAATACATACCTGCCTCTCAGGTAACTTTACCTAGCAGCTGGTAAGAAATGAGTGCATTTCTATAGCTTTATTAAAGTTATCAGCCTAGTACCATAGCTATAGTAATTCACATCATGGAAGATTAACAGATGGTTCTTTGGTCTAAAGCAATCATCTCCTGTTAAAATATATTAAATGACAACTAACCCAAGTTATCTTAGATGAATTTAACAGCTTGGATTTTGCTAGAGATTGCTTCTACTTCTTGGCTACCAACGATCCAACATTTTTAAATGATGCAAAATAATCATGCCTGAATTGCAAACTTAACAGGAAATACGCTTTTTCTAGATTAGGAATACCTGTCACCCACTATCTTAAGTTTGCAGGAATTTCACCCATCTGCTGGTTTGATTATTATGGAGAATTGCAGCAAAAATAAATGAACCTAAGGCAAAACTCAAACAGTTCAGGGTTCTGATTTTGAAGAAAACGTTTTGTAATTTTGCACACGTTTATAGCATGTTTGTTGCCTTCTTTACTACCTGTTTTAATGCCAACATACAGAGGTGGCATGATTCTCAGGATATTTGCATTACCGAAACTAGCCTTGCCCTTGAAAGATAACATGCTGTTTTCCATTCAAAATTAAGCACTAGGCAAAAACAAGGGAGGCTCCTTGGCTCAATGGGCCATACAGAAGTGAACCCAAAGAAGTCAGGCTCGCCCTCGCTCTCCTGGCAACATCTGGCTATTTCTAAATAAGCTCCTGCTATAAAGTACAGCCCGTTTTCTGAGCATTGAGTGGGAAGGCAGATATTAAAACCTGCCGTCCCAAAGATGAGACAATGAATGGATCGTATTGCAGTAGTTTTGCTGGTAACTCATCATCTAATTGACTGTGAGTACATCTTGAGTGACTGCCAAATGGCTACATGGCATGTTCTTGCTTTGGGAGGACTACATTGCCTCGCCTCCCCACAGTACCGGTGAACAGGGTAACAGGTTCCACTGCAAGCATACCATCTGGATGCAGTTAATTACTACTATGAAGTCAAATGCCAGAGATCTTTTTAATCTTCACTATTAGTCAAGGTTAAGATGATCTCTCAGCTGCCACAAATTTAGAGTGCAGTGGCACCTTTAAGACCAACAAAGTTTTATTCAAGGTATGAGTTTTCGTGTGCACGCGCACTTTTTCAAATACACTGTCTTTTTTAGATGCTGAGCTTCATAGTCATTGGATTGAATCCAAATACCCCACTACCTTTAGAAGAAGGGAGTTCGTGGCCTGGCGAACCCACCAGCTTTATCTGTACTAAAAAAAAAAAGACTTTTGCAAAGAGAGTGCTGGTTAGGCATATGAGATGCGAAGGTTAGAAATACTTAGCAAGCACGTTCACCCATTTACTAACAGCTCGCTATCACTCATGTGTTACCGGAAAGACAAGGAATCCCTCACAACGAGCCAACTTCATTCTTGGGCTGTGACCACCATTCTAATGTATATTACTGTGTTTAACTCTGTTTATTGTACTACTGGATGTTGCTACCCGCCCTGAGCCTGCTTGCGGGAAGGGCAGGCTATAAATACGAAATAAATAAATAAATAAATAATGATATCTAGGGTTGAGGTCAATGAGTAGACACCTATCATCATCATCAAGAACAAGACAGCTTCCCCTCAGCCAGTTAGCGTGGAAATGCTTACCTGTGCTCTCTTATGCTTGCAACACTCCCAGTGGCAACAGCCATCATGGAAGTACCACGATCACAGCACAGAACAGACAGGAAAGCTCAGAACCCAAGCAAAATGGAGGGAAGGAGAAGAAATCAGGGCTTAACAGGAGGAGAAGAAGGGAAAAGCATTAACCAGGAGTAGAAAAGTATAGGGTGTCATAATACAAAGAGCAGCACTAGCGGAAGGTAAAGGAAGTGCAGGAATGAACAACGAAAGACGAGAAGCCTGTGAAAAACATAAGGGAGTTATGCTGCAGGACTCTTATAGAAGAAGAAGAAGAGATTGGATTTATACCCCGCCCTTCACTTGGGAGTCTCAGAGCGGCTTACAAACTCCTTTCCCTTCCCCTCCCCACAACAGACACCCTGTGGGGTGGGTGGGGCTGAGAGAACTCTGACACAAACGGCTCTTTTTCAAGGACAGCTGTGCCAGAGCTTGTGACTGACCCAAGGTCACATCAGCAGGTGCAAGTGGAGGAGTGGGGAATCAAACCCGGTTCTCCCAGATTAGAGTCCGCACACTTAACCACTACACCATACTGGAGTAAGGTTATAAAAGCATATTGACCATCAACTAACCTCCCTAAGCCACATAGCAATCAATCAATTTATTGCAACAATCAACGACCAGCAGTACAGTTTGATTAATTGTTTTAATTGATAAAAAA